TTTTCAACGTTTATTTATTTTTGGGACAGAGAGAGACAGAGCATGAATGGGGGAGGGGCAGAGAGAGAGGGAGACACAGAATCGGAAACAGGCTCCAGGCTCCGAGCCATCAGCCCAGAGCCTGACGCGGGGCTCAAACTCACGGATCGCGAGATCGTGACCTGGCTGAAGTCGGACGCTTAACCGACTGCGCCACCCAGGCGCCCCTCTCAGGATAAATAATTAAAGAAAAAAAAAAGACAAATGCTGTATGATTCCAGTGAATCCAATGAGGTAGTCCAATTCGTGGTAACAGAAGGTAGAATGGTGTCACCAGGGGCTGAAGGGAGGGATAAATGGGTATGAGGTTTCAGTTTTGCAAGATGAAAGAATTCTGGAGGTGTGCTGCACAACAACATGAGTACACTTAACACTACTAAACTGCACACTTAAAATGATTAAGAAGTTAAAAAAAAAAAGAAGAAAATTTAACGCAGAAGGAAGGTATGGGATTCAAAAAGCAACACTGAGCCAAGAAACAGTGAAACATGTTTTTTGTTAAATCTAAATAAGAATTGAGTTAAACATTCTGTTTGCAATGCACAGAATGGATTAGAGGTGGGACACATCTAGGAGCAGGGCCATGAGGGTGGTCATTCACTCTTGAACTAAAACACCATCTTAGTTCAAGGGGCAGAATCTGTGCCACTGGTCAGCAGGGAAGACGTGGTCGATGAAGGAAGGGTTGTCCACGAGGACACCCAAGGTTTTGGTTGGGATCCAGGGTGGATAATGAAGTTAGTCATTAAGAAGTGTAACATGTAAGCAGAGGATTTTTATTTTCTTGCGGGTATGAAATTACAATGGGTTTACAATCAAAAGTTCTTTAAAGGCTGACAATCTGAATAACGGGGAAGCTAGCCATGTTGTGGCATTTAAGGGTCCGCCACCTGCTGCCATGATGCTTGTTCAAATCCCAACTTCTCCACTCACTAGCTGTTCACCCCCGAATAAATTACTTAACCGCCTTATTCTTCACCTCTCTCCTCTGTAACAGAGGATGATAATAGACTTACATCACGAGGTTGCTATGGGGGATAAGCAAGTTAGTAGTCCTCTAGCACTTAGAATATTTGTCACTTAGTAAGTACTGAATAAGCGCTAGTGTAACAGGATATTAAATCGGAAAATCTGACTAGGATTTCAAGATATCATGTTTTAGAAAATACAACACATAGGACATTCTAAAGTGATTTGCTAATCTGAGATGAAATACTTCAAAAGAAAAAAAAGTGCCAAATCAATAAATAACGGGCATATCATTCTTTAAAATTTTTTGAAAATGTTTATTTACTTTTGAGAGAGGGAGACACAGAATCCGAAGCAGGTTCCAGGCTCCGAGCTGTCAGCACAGAGCCCGACGCAGGGCTCAAGCTCACAAACTGTAAGATCATGACCTGAGCTGAAGCCGGACGTCCAACCGACTGAGCCACCCAGGTGCCCCACGGGCATATCATTCTTAAACTCTATGCCCACATCAGAATTGTATACAATTGGCAGAGTTGTTAGAAATTAGAGGGAGAGAGGATTTCTTTGGAAAGAGATATGCTATTAGTTCTCAAGGGCAAGAGGTGAGGGTGCCGCCTTCTTAATCTCAAGCCTAGAGAGAGGGACTCAAACAGGTCTATTGACTCCTGCCTGAAAAATCAAAAAGGCAAGTGATGGGCGAGCCAGCAGATGAATGGATGGACATATGGCTGCATTGGAACTGGCCTGTGGATCAGATGCGAACATGCCAAGGAGAGAGGCAGTGCCAGCTTATCTCATGCCTTGCTTGATGGAATCCCCTGTAGGAGTGAACAGGCTCCAAGGATCATAAAAAAATAAAATCCAGTTGGCAACTGTCAAGAAGGTCAAATAACTTAAGCTTCGAAGACTATCAAGCTGGACTTAAATGTCTCCCTGACAATGCAACGTGCTAGAAGACAGTGGAATGATGCGCTAAGACCCACAGGGGCAGTATCTGGAACCCAGGGTTCCTCCAGCTCTCCTCCTTGAGAGTGCAGGGTTGACTCTGGTCAAAACTCTGCAGTGGTGAGTTGCGCTCTCACCCACCACCCGCTCGCTCAGCCTCACCCCTTCCTTCCTCTGGAGGGGATCCTGGCTTGAGCCATGGGGACAGGAATGGGTATAGGCAGGTGTCACAGTTCTCACCGGGCCTGGTGGAGAGGCGCTGGGCTCCCAGGGATGCTGAGGGACAGGGAACAGATGAGGGGAAGCCTGTGCTATTTCTCCCAGCAAAGCGCGCGCGCACACACACACACACACACACACACACACACTCACACTCTTGTGGGTAAACTTGTGCTTTGGGTACTTTGGCCAGGAGGGTGGGGGGCTTAACAGAGATGTAAACTTACAGAAATTCTGTCTGTTGTTGCCTGTGAGTGCTGCCTCCACCCCCCACTTGGAAACATGCAGAGGCCATTGCTCTCCTGTCAGTTGATTTCAAAACCTCTGTTTCAGTTCACTTAGAAGAGGCACCCCTCGCCCTCAACAACAGAGGGTTATTCTCCAGACCCCATTCTTTTATAGCAGGGCTACAGGCTCCTCCAGCTGCCCTTCTCTCACCCTTCGCTAAGGCTGCCAGGAATGAAGAGGGGAGGGGAGAAGACGTGGGTGGTGGCAGGAGGCAGGGCCTGGGGGAGAGAGAGCTGGGACCCTGCTGGCTGCAGCCTGAGGACTCTTCCCTGACTCTTCCCCCGTGTTGTTGGTGTTTCTGTTAGGCGCTGCCAGGTGAGTGCCGGGAAGGAGAGTGGCTGGGCTGGGGCAGGGTGCAGGGTTGGGAGGGTGAGAGACAGTGGGCTTCAGGGCTGCACACACCAGTGAGCTGGGGTATTATTACAATTCAGATTTGAGTTGCTAACCCTGGGATACAGCTTGAGGTTCTGCCTTCCTGGTGCTGCCAGTGCATCCAGGGATCACACTTTAGGTAAAAGAATCTAGAACGTTTTCCAGGCCAGGTGGGCTGAGACGGGAGCAGAAAGCC